AACTGTGACCTAATTTATTAAGTGGTAATACCACATACGGAGTTGTATATCTGTCAAAAGTTTTTGTAGGGGCTGAAGAGATGACTTAGCACTTAAAAGCACTGGTTGCTCATGTGGAGGACCTGGGTTCAGTTCCCAGCACTCACATGGTGGTTAACAACCATTCACAATTACAGTTTCAGGGATCCGACAGCCTCTTCTGACCTCCACGGGCATTGCACGACACGGGTGCACTTACCTACATGCAGGCAATACATGCACTAAAAGTTAAAAAAAAAAAAAAAAAAGAAGTAGAAGTCATCAGGTCCAAACCTATGCCAGGATTTGCCTGACTGGTATCTTCCTCCTTACCCCAACCCTGTGAAGTATGTATTATCTGTATTTTACAGATGAGGAAACTGGTTCCCAGAGGGTGGTTGCCAAGGTTAATTAACATAGTGTCAGAAAGCATGGATTTTTTTTTAAACTAATTAATTTTTTGGTGGTGCTGGGGCTCAAACCCAGGGCTTCAAGCATGTTACTCAAGCACTCCACCTCTGAACTACAACCCCAGTTCAGATTGGATTTTGGTTTATATCTGACTCCTCTGGGTGGGTAACTGCTCATGCACAAACCCACAGCTGTCCTAGTCAACCTAGTCAGTGCGCAAATCCACAAATGTTTTCAGAAACCTGGGCGCCTCCAACTTCCTTCTGGGGGCATTCATGACACCCACCTTGCATATATCTGTCCCAGAAACCAGTTCCCTGCATAGGAAGGAACAGATTAGGACCTCTACTATGTTGTCAGGAAAGAGGGACTTACCCATCCCTCCTTCACACTTGCCTTAGCCCACAGTGGAGTGAGCAGAATTATGAGTGCCCCTCAAAGATGTCTCTAACAACCCTGGGAACTTACCTACAGGTTACATGACTGGAAGGGAGGATTAAGGCTATAGACAGGATAAGGTTGCTAACAAGCTGTCCTTAATATAGACAGTCTTAAATGTGGAAGAGGGAGGCAGAGGAATGCAATGGGAGTCTGACTGGCACCTTGCTGGGCCTTGGGAATGAAAGGAGGCCATGAGTCAAGGAAAGTGGATAGCACATAGAAGCTGGAAGAAACTGGATTCTTCTAGAGTGTCTAGAAGGGTCCCAGGCCTGCTGGCACTTTAGATCTATTTCAGTCTTTGAAGAACTCTAAGTAAAATTTGTTGTTTTACATCACTAAAATGTGACACTAGCAATAGGTCAAAGCCAGCTGTACCTTCCTCTGAGAAAGCTGTCAGGCCTGCCCTCACAGCAGAGCTCATGGGTGGGAATAGTCAACGTCAACATCAGTCTCAAGTTAGCAAAGCACATGAGCCCCCAGCGCTGCCAGGGAGGTGGGCTGGAGGAGAGGCCTGGGGAAGCTGTTGAGTCACAAGTGTGAGCAGACCCACCTCCTGGGCCCCAGCCTCCCCTCTCTACTTACTATGTGGTTTTCAGCAGCCCACTTACCCTTTAGAGGTCCAAGGACCTCATTTGTGAATCACTGGCAGTTCTATCTTCCCCACATGCACAGAACTATGAATAATGCCTTAGGGGTGCAGCCCACTTCCACAGCTTCTGTTCTAGGTGGCCACTTGGATGGAATCAGGGCCTTGTGTCCTGGTTTGTTTTTGGCTTTTTGAGACAGGGTCTCACTCTAACCTAGGCTGGTCTAGAATTCAGTGGCTCAGTCTGACCTTGAACTTGCAGCAATCCTACCTTGGCCTCCCAAGTGCTGGGATTGCAGGCAACACCTGGCTAGTTTTTACTTTAATAATTGCTATTAAATACATCCATGAGACAGCATTGTTTCTAAAGCAGGTGATAAAATTCAGTTAAGTAAGTGATTCACTGAAACGTCAATTGGTTTTCTGTTGTCTTTCCTGCAACCACGGCATATCAGTGCCAAGGGGACCTTCTGTTTTCCAAAGAAGCAATTCAGGTGGTTGAGAGATGACTAGACCTTTAGAAATGGAATTCTTGAATGGGTCAGCTCTAAGTTTAATTCTCTTGCTGTGATAAAACACTCTGACCAGGGACTAGAGAGATGACTCAGTGGTTAAGAGCACAGACTGCTTTTAGAGAAGACCAAGGTTCAATTCCCAGCACCCACATGGTGGCTAACAACCAGTTCCAGAGGATCCACCAGTTCCAGAGGATCTGACACCCTCTTCTGTCCTCCGAGGGCATTGCACAACACAGGTACATCCATACATATGCAGGCAATACAATAATAGACATAAAAATAGTATATAAAATATTAAAAAATATAAACACTCTAACCAAAAGCTTATGGTGGGGGGAGGGTTTGCCTTCTACTTCCAGGTCATGGTCCATCATTGACAGGAGTGACGGCAAGAACTCAAACAGGAACTTGAAGCAGAAGTCATGGAGGAATGCTTGAAGGAATGCTGCTTGTTGTCTAAACTGCAGTCGCACGCTTAGCTAGCTTTCTTATTCAGCCCAGGACCACCTGCCCAGGGAATGGTGCTACCCCAGTGGACTGGGATCTCCCGCATCATTTAACAATCAACCCTCCACAGATATGCCCCCAGGCCAGTGTGATCTGGGAAATCCCTCTGATGAGACCCCTTTCTCAGATGACTCTAGGCTGTGTCATGTTGACAATGAAAGCTAACTAGGACAGAGTCCACGAAAGAGAACAAAATCTTAGACAAATGGCAAAAACAGAACAGTTTGAGATTCTCTTCTATTTTTAAAGACACAGACAGCAGTTTAAAGTGAAAGTAGCCAAGCCTAACCAAGTCCTCTCTTGTCACCAACGGTGACAGTTTAGGCACTGTTTTCATCCTGCTCTTGCCAACCATCTTCTCTGCCAGCTTCCAACAGAAAGAATGCACAGACACATCATAGCAGGAACTACGGGGCTATATCACAACTCCAGCTGTCCATATGCTCCCTGTGTGCCCCCTTAGTACAGCATTGGGTGGTACCATCAGCAAGCCCAGTCACATAAGACAGCCCTGCTGATACATACAAGAAGGGTCCCCATCACAGGCCAGGGTGATAATCCTTGTCTGCCCTGGCCAGAGTGTTGAGTCCCTGACTCTACCTCTACTCTCAAACTGCGTCTTTGCTGACCCAGGGATGCCAGCTCACTGCTTATCTCAACAGACTGTGCTTTGCCAGGAGCCCTCAAGGCCCAGGGCAGGATATCTGGGGCAGAGGCTGAAGACAGGTGGCCTGCCACCACCACTGTTCTGTCATCTGAATGTGTCAGATGATGGTGTGGGGGAGGGATTAGGGATACATTTTTCTAAGCTTTTGTGGTGATGGTGGCGATATACACATCTTTGTGTTTAAGAAAGCTGAGGGAAATGATTTGTTTGCAAAGGCAAACAATTTTATTATATAAGACGTGGTATAAAAATTACAGCAGTTGTGGAAGTGTTCAGAAAGTGAATGTCTTCCTTTAACTCCCACAGCCAGTGCCCAGTTCTCTTCTGTCCTCCAAACAGGCCTTTCTGGCTCCTGTCAGTGTTCTTTGGGAAAAGAATCTAAAAGTAAAACTCTAAAAGTGACTCCTCTATTTTAGTGGTCTGACCACTTGTGAAATAGAGTAACATTTATAAAGTCTGTTTTGCTCCTAAAATATCCAAACTCAACTTTTTGTATTTTTTATTGAAGTTTTGTGTATTTCCTACACAACATCTTAATCTTTATACCCCTCCCCCCAAATTTAACTCTTACAGCCTGATTTGTAAATCTGCCTGAAGTTAAATTCCAATAATTAAGAGAAGTAACATTGTTTATTAGACTAATATAAAAATTGCAAAACACAAATGAAACGGCAGGACTTCAGGGAACTTTCTGCTGTTACAGTTTGGCACTACAGTCATACCACTTGTCTAAGAAAAGGCCGTTTTATAGACTATTCCCAAGGACATGCTAGAATCATCCATTGGGTTCAAACCAAAGAACCCATGAACTGGCACGTTTAAAATCATTATTGAAAAGAATTTTAGAAATCACTGATAACTTCTATTTAGGCCATTCTTCCGCTGGAAATTTTCATCAGAAAATTAGAAACTTAAGAATTATATGACTAATTACAGAACAACATGTATAACATCTGCACATACTTACTGAGCAGCCATGATATGCAAGGTACAAGGGTGAGTGAGCATAAATAGCCCCAAGGGGTCAAGTCTGGCAGGGCAGGGAAGGGACGGCAAGAACCTAAACGGCCATATAGTAGATGGGTTACTCTGAGGGTCTTAAGGTTCAAAATGCTAGAATCCAGAGAAGGAAATACCTCAAAAAGAACTGAAATTCTTGGCCTTAGAAATGGGTGGGGATTCAACCAGCATCCTCACATGCTCAGAAGGTACTCTGCTACTGAGCTGTACCCCAGTCCTGGGGGAAAGTGTTTACACACAGACATTGAAGGGGTTTATTAGAGGAAGACAAACGGGTAGACACACCAAGAACAGGGGTGTGGCCGAGTTGTTGAGGGACAGTGGGTGGGAAAGTGATGGGAAGACGAATCCCAGATGAATGAAAAACAGGCATAAGGCAGGCAGGTGCAGTGTTCGGTAGAAGTAAACAGCAGAGCAGTGCCTAGGATCAGGGAGATGATCAGACCTCATTCTGCTCTGTAGCAGTTGTGCGGAGGTGCATGATGCCTCTCAGCCTGTCTTCTCGTCACGATGAATGTGTCTCATGAGGTTGCAGCATGACAGAAACTTTTTATGAGGCAGGATCTCATGTAGCCCATGTTGATCTCAAATGCACTGTACAGCTGAGGACAATCTTGAACTCCTGATCCTCCTACCTGTACTTCCCAAGTATTGGGATCAGAGCATGTACCACCATACATTAAGCACAGCTATGACACATGGTGAATGCTCAGTAAATGTTAATGTCACCCATTTCCACTAACGAATGAAGTTAGGAAGAAAATGGGTGTCAGCACTCTCAGGACAGTAGCTAGAAGCACATCTAGATTCACCCCTGCCACTCACCAGCTGTAATCATGGACAAACTGCCCCTTTATCTCATTTTTTTCTTAAGAAAATATTACATTTATTTGTGGGTATGGGTATGTGCATGTACTTCATGTACTTTTTTTCCCCTCACTATGTGGATCCCAGAGATTGAACTCAGATCGGCAGGCTTGGCAACAAGCATCTTTTATCTGTTGAGCTGTCTTGCTGGCCCTTCATCCCATTTTTCTTGGCTGTAAAACTGTCAATACCTCACCATGGAGCTACAGTGAAAGGGAATACACATAAAGTGTGTAGTGTGTGTTTGATTATGCTTTAAGTGCCCAGAAAATACTAGTTATCAGGTGAAGGGTGGATGCAGAGTGGTGGCCGGTTATGCCAGTGGGAGGAGAGATGGAGCAGGAATGGGCAGACCCAGGGAGAATAGTCAAAGATGCGATTTCCCAGTGAGTCCCTGATAGCTCTACAAGGAAATGGCTAGAAGGTAGAAGTCGGCCCTGGGAAGTAATCAAACCTGCACTATAGGTGGATGCTTCAGAGTGTCACTGAGCTGGGCGTGGTGGCGCATGCCTCTGCTCCCAGCATTTGAGGGACAGACAGGTTCAGTTCCCAGCATCTGCATGGTGGCTCAGAACTGTAACTCCAGTTCGAGGGGTTCCAACACTCTTCTGGCCTTCACGGGTGCCAGGCACACACATAGTGTGCATACATATGTGCAGGCAAACAATACACACACAAAAAAATGTTCAAAAGTCATGAAAAAATTGAGGCTGTTCTAAAGAGACTAAGGGTTATAATCAGCAATAATGCATGAACTTTGGGTAAAAAATAATTGGTCTTGAAATAATGGGGAATTTTGATGAAAGACTTTCGAGGCTGTATATGTTCATATTCATTCTACAAGCATGTACAGCAAAACCTTCATTCTTAGGAGATGCTAAAATACTTAGTACACTTGGTATGCCAGGCATGGTGACACACACCTTTAATCCCAGTACTCAGAAGGCAGAGGCGGCTGGATCTCTGTGAGATCGAGGTCAGCCTGGTCTATATAGAGTTCCAGGCCAGCTGGGGCTAAAGGGAAAGTCTTATCTCAAACAACAAAAAAAATACACTTGTATAGGGAGAAAAATGTAAATAAAACAGAATATTAAGGTATTCAAAATGGAGGCTGGATATGTTTATGGATATCCCTTTCTATGTGCAAAGAATTTTTATAAAAGAGAATTTGAGGAGAGGACTAAAAACTGAGAACCCGTGCACAGAACAAGTGGGCAGTGTTGGGGCCGGTGTGTTCACAAGACAGGAAGGAAGTTCATGTGTGTTCTTGTTGGGTTCAAAGTGGGGGTGAAGACTTGTGGAGAAGTGACAGAGGTGTTGTCCTACTAGTAAGGTGGCAAGAAGTGAGACAGGAAAGTGAGGAAGTGGACCTTTCATTGGGTCTGATGGGGGTGTGTGACAGAACAGTGCTCATGGTATTGAATGAGCAGAGAACAAAAACTCGGTCTCTCTTGACACGGTTCTAGAGATGCTGGGGTAGAGAGCCATCATTTTAAACACTCTCGGGAACTCGGTGCTGGATCTAGATTATACATTAGGAAGAGTACAACTCTATCATGGGTAAAAACCTGATCCTCGTTTCCCGTGAGGAGTATAGGCATGTGATGTCTTTGGTGTTGAGCCTATGCTTTTAAGGCTTTTAGCTCCAAAGCACTACAGAGGTAGTGGCAGGAGCTTTCTGGTCCCTCTTGCCCCGTCGCTCATCCCTTGCGTACAGCTTAGGCAGCCCTCGGGGCTTCGGCTCCCGGGAGGAGGTCCTTTTGGAGCTGCTGCTCTCCAGCAGCGAGTGGAAGGCCCGCACCTAGAGGATCCAGCCCAGGCTGCTGGAGCGTCCGCCCGGCTACAGCAGGACCCTGGTGACCACGCAGACGTGGCCGTTCCCATCAGGGTCCTCCTTGAGGGGCGGAGGCAGGGGAGAAGGCGGCGTGGGGGCCCTGGTGGGAACGCCCTGGCCTGAGCTCAGTTCCCGCAGCTGAGCCTGCAGCATCTCGCGCTCCGTCTGCAGCTCACGACGCACCTGCGCCACTGCGCGCTCCTCCTGCCTCAGCGCCCGGCGCCTGCGCTCCAGCGCCCGCTCGGCCTGCTGCAGGGCCGCCTCCCGCCGCTCCAGCTCCCGCTCCCGTCGGCTGCCGCGCAGGGCCAGCGCGCCCATCTGCTCTAGCAGGCGCGCCCAGTCGCCCTCGGGGGCCGCGGCAGGGACTAGCGGTGGGCAGGGCGCGGCGGGCGGGGAGCGCCTGGAGCCGCTTTTCTCCAGCTCCCGCAGGTGCGCGTCGCTCAGGTGCCGCCACAGAGCCCGGGTCCACGCCTGGAAGCCGGGGTGGCCACCCACCTGCTCCCCGCACAGCCGGCAGGTGGCCCAGGTGCCCGACGGGTGTTCGGGCCGCGCCGGGGCCAGGTGGAAGTAGCCCCAGGCCTCGGAGTAGGGCGCTCCCAAATGGCCCGGAGCCGCCGGCGCCAGTCCGGGACAGGGTCCGCCCTGCCCTGCCGTGCAGTCCGGCCTGGTGCTGTCTTCCATGGTCACAGCGGGCTCTTCACGCCGCATTCCTTCTGCAGCGTCTACATCCAGAGGGGGAAGAGGAGAAATAAGAATAGCAACTATGATATGTTCACAGCTCCTATAAACATTAGCTGGTGACAAAACTTTGCCTCCCTTTTATTATGGCTGCAAACCCAAAGGATGTCTTGAGTTTCTTTCCCCTTAATACCATGAAATGCCAATGTCCTGGGGAAAATGCTAAATGTCTAGCCCTTTCTGCACTAGTTCTCTTCGGAAGTAAATATATTTCTTTTTAACATCTATATCAAGAAACTGAGCTAAGGGCTGGAGATAGAGCTTAATTGGTAGAATGCTTTCCTAGCATTTGAGGCCCTAGGTTTGATTCCCCAGCACCATATGAATTAGGAGTGGTGGTACACACCTATAATCCCAGTCCCCAGGAAGTGGAGGCAGGAGGATCAGGAAACTCAAGGTCATCCTCAGACACGTGGTAAGTTCCACACCAGTCTGGGCTACATGAGACACTGACTAAAACAAAAACCTAACTAGCTTAAACACAGTGCTGTATCATATAGCTTTAACCTTCTTTTGAAAAGTCATTGTTTTTTCTTTTTTAAAGAAATATTAAATTTCGGAATGCTTGTCTCCTCGGCACTAATGATGGCAATAACTGGAAGTGAAAGTCCAATTGTAGTGGTGCTCAGGCAAAATGGGCATATCAAATTTTTGACCAAAGGAGATAATAATGCTGTTGACGACCGAGGTATCTATAAACAAGGACAACATTGGCTAGAGAAGAAAGATGTTGTGGGGAGAGTCAGGGGATTTGTTCCTTATATTGGAATTGTGACAATCCTCATGAATGACTATCCTAAATTTAAGTGTGCAGTACTGTTTTTGCTGGGTTTATTTGTGCTGGTCCATGGTGAGTAAGAAGTCTGCCTTGCTGTTCCTGGGAAGATGCCATGCTTTTTGTTACTGAATGTCTGGAGTAGATCCTGGTCTGTGATTTGGGGAATGGAGGACACACATTGGCACTTCTTGGAAGCACTGGTTTGCATTTGTTTTGTTTCCACACCCGAGTCTGTGTGGGCGGGTGCATGTACACCATGCAGTGCACTCAAGGGGACTTTCAATCAAAGGATGTCAAATGTTGTCATTGTCACTCACATTTTTATACATCAGTGAATTTTTTATATTAAAAGGTTGAGCCAAAAAATTTGTTTCTATTTTATGTGTATGAATGTATTGTCTGCATGTATGTAACTACACATGTGTTGTACAGTGCCCAAAGAGTCAGAAGAGGGCATGGAAGTCCCCAGGAACTGGAGTTACAGACGGTTGTTAGCTGCCATGTTGGATGCTGGGAATTGAACCCTGTCCTGTGCAAGAGTAGCTGGTGCTCTTAACCACCAAGCAAGCTCTCCGGCCCCAGTTTTTTCTTTTTAAAAAACAAGTTACTGTTTTTCATTCTTGAGAATAAGGGTGAAGCTTCTGTGTTTTCTGGATGTTTCAGAGCAATCTTTTGAAATGAACAGAAAGTAAAGCTTTGGTGATGGAAATTTAATTTCTTAAACTGTAGGAGAGGTGCCAGTAGTGAGCAGCCCTTTCAACAGCTTTCAACGACTGGATTCTTCATGATGTAAACATTTATTTATTTTGGTGATTATAATAACAATGTACTCCTAACAAAATGGACAGTACTGGAAGGCATTAAAATGCCTTCAAGATATGCATTCTAGGAATTCACAAAATACAAAGCAGAGCCCTAAACTTTTGCCTTTAAATTAGATGGTAGGGAGGGCCAGGGTACGTGCTGATAGACAGTGTCTTCTAGACATGACAGCGAAGCTGCACCCATGGAATCTCAACAATCTGAGATTGCCTGAACAAGAGCAGGTTCAAACAAGACCTGCATAATGACACCGCCAGCTGACATGCCACTGTGGACTGGGGTAAATTTCACAAGGTCCACTTCTAGATGGGACAGGCAATCAGGGGTTGCAGAGAGAGGGAGAAAAAGTTTTCTCCAGGAACGAATTCCCTCATAGGTTACCCAATCTCAAGTGCTCAGCCCTAAACACATACTCACAGGCACCACTAGATGGACTCAGTAGGTTTAATATTAAACAGTATGGTATATGAAGTCCCTCACAAAATTAAAAAAAATTTAATTAGTAAAAAAAAAAGATTTTTTTGTTTTGATTTTTTTGTTGCTGTTTGATTTTTTTGAGACAAGGTCTCCCTGTAGCCCCAGCTGTCCTGGAATTCACTATGTAGACCAGGCTGGCCTTGAACTCACAGAGATCTGCCTGCCTCTGCCTCCCAAATGCTGGGATTAAAGGCGTGCACCACCACACCAGCCTGAAAAAAAAAAAAAAAATGGTTCTAATGATCTGGGAGTTCCAGTTATTACCTGGAGATTTCTAAGCAACCTAGGTTCCAAAGTAGACATGCCATGTACAGAATAACTCAGGGTTCATTAGCAGTGCTTGGAGTAAGTTTGTAGAACAACAACCTAATAGAGAAATGCAATGGAACAGGCTTAGCTACCAGGACCAATATTTCATAGGTACCCAAGATATGGCAAATGAAATTAGCATTCTTTATTGATCATCCAGACTAAATGACTTCTGTATTTGGAAGATAGGAAGCTTGATCAAAACTTCTAATTAAGAGACAAAAAGAAAAGTAATACTGTGTTGCTCTGTCTGATAAAAAATGTCTATGCAAGAGGGAACCAAATACAGTGTCACAGCTGTTATGACCAAGTGTTTTGCATGTGTATGATGTATGTGTCTGTGTGTACACATGTGCACCACAGCAAGGGTCTGGAGGTCAGAGGACAACTTTGTGTCAGTTCAGTTCTCTCCTTCCATCTTTACACGGGTTCTGGGGATTGAACTTGGTCATCAGGCTTGCACAGCAAGAACTTTACCTGCTGAGTCATTTCACTGGGCTTATGACCAAGTCTTTCCCATTAGGAAGACAACTCAACTCTGTAATGACCTGTTCAAAAAAGGGTGTAAACAGGGGACATTAGTTCTTTAGTAAACAAGTTCACAAGAGACCAATATATGGATCTAGATAAACTTGTTGAATAATAAGAAGCAATAACACTTGGCAGACTCCCCAGCTCTTCCAAGTATTTCTCTCAGGAAGAGTCAAAACCAGGGTGGGAGAGCCAGGCCCTATGGGTCAGCCAGTGAATGCTCATGGTGCCATTCTAAGCAAGCAGCAGTAGAGAAGGTATTAAAGTTGAATCTGTCAAATAAACAAAACTGAGAATGACTGAAGACACAAACCAGGAAAAACAAGCTTGCCCTAACAGCGTTTACTGTAAGCTTTCAATTCAATAGCTAATAGCCTTTAACAGCTGCATCAGAATTTTCCAAACCCAATTTATTCTTTTCCTACCAAGCAAATTCACTTACAATCAGGCATGCCCTTTAACAGAGGTCACACATTTTTTAATGTATCTGCAAAAATCATCAACACAGACAAATATCAGGTCTCTTTTAATATAAAAAAATGGTAACGTGTATTTTGATACATAGGCATTGATTTATGTATGATTACGCATGAGAATTAAAAGGTTGGGTTGGTGAGATGGCTCTGTGGGGAGACACAGTGTCTGATGATTGAGTTTGATCCTCAGAATCCACATGGTGGAAGGACAGAACTGATGCCTACAAGTTGTGCTCTGACATCCACACATGTGCTATGGTATGTACACACACACACACACACACACACACACACACACACACACACTAAATGTGGAAAAAAAATTAAAATACAAGCCAAAGAAACAATAGTAAAAGCTGTAAAAGACAAACACCAACTCACCTAAAAGGCAAACATATCAGAATAAATCACATCTCTCATCAGCAAATGTAAAAGCCATGGAACAATATATTTCAAGCCCTGAAAGAAAATAAAATCGACAGTTACGATTGATATATTCAGCAAAACCCTTTCAAAATTGAGGACAGATCCCCTGAAAATGGAGTTACAGGTGGCTGTGGGCCACCCTAACCTGGGTGCTAGGAACTGAACTTGGCTTCACTGCTGAGCCACCTCTCCAGCCCCAAGTGTGTTCTTTCAGCTCCTAGTTTCTTCAGGCCTTCTGTCATGAAGAGATAATGAACTTTCTCATAGGCTTTTTCTGCACCTATTGAGATGATCATGTAGTCTATTTATGTGCTTTATTACATTTACTGAGTTGCATATGTTCAGCCACTTTTGTTATAATGACAAAACTGTAGTCAATATTATAAGTAATGGGGGAAAACTGAAAGCATTTGCTCTAAAATCAGGAACAAGACTAAGTGTCCATTCCTTCTGCTCTCATTCAGTACAGCACTCTGTCTTAGCTAGTGCAGCAAGATTTAAAAAAAAAAAAAAAAAAGGAAAAAGATAAAAATAGGAAAGGAAGTCGAATTATTTCTATTTACAGATCAGGATCCTATACTTAAAAGATTCTTAGACTTCCACCAGGAAATTCTTAGATCTGACAAACACTTTCAGCAAAGTAGTAAGAAACAAAATCAACATATAAAAATTAGCTTTTCTATATACTGATAACAAATTTGCTAAGAAAGACATCAAGGAGAAAAAAATCTTTCATTGCAGCATTACCATGCCACATTACAATTACCTGAACAAACAGTCTGACTCTTTAGTGTTTAAAAGAGTGAGCTCGAACTCGGAGGACACCTGTTCCCCCAGATGTCTCTTGGAAATGTACTTTGGAACTGTGTTCCCAAGTTAGGCCTCACTTATAATTTTATTCAAAACCATTTCTCCAGATTCAATTGGGGAAGTACAAGCTTGACTCCATTCTTATTTATCAGATAATCTTGCCTTTTCATCCCTAGTTCTAGAATATCTCATACACACAATGTCAAGAGTCCTTTCTAATCTTCGTGTTTTCAGTGAAGATGTCTGCACTGCTTTTCAGTGCTTTGATATGTTAATTCTCTATCATATCCATATTCATTCCTTTTCTTTGGGTGGAATATTAAATTGAGGTTCCCACTTGTGGTGATTTGAATGAAAATATCCCCCACAGGCTCCAAGTATTTGGACGTTTTGTCCCCAGATGGTGGCACTGTTTTGGAAGGTCTTAGAAGGTGTGGCTATCCTGGAGGAAGCACGTCACTGGGGGTGGGCTTAGAGAGTTCTTAAGCTTTGCCAGATCTCCAACTGCTCTCTTCCTGTGCCTGCTGGAAGATATAGAGCTTAGCTTCTGCTCCTGCTCTAGCCACCTCCAGCCACCATGCCTCCCCACCGTGATGGACTATAATTCCCCTGGAACCATAAGCACAAATAAACTCTTCCTTTTATAAGTCATTTTGGTCAGTGTTTCTATCACAGCAACAGAGAAGTAACTAATACACCACTAAACAAGATCAGGTGCCCAGGTCTCAAGAGCACATGGTTCAGTGAGTTTCCCAAGGTTAATTAAAAGTCATTAGTTCAGATTATGTCCATTTGATAAAAGTCATTCCTACAATTTAGAACCTTTAAAATAGCAAACAAACAAAACCCTAAAATAAACCTAAGGAGGCAAAAGAGCTCTATCAATGCACTGAAAACTGAACACTGAAAAAAAGAAACTGAAGAAAACACTAGAAGATGGAAAGCTCTTCGAAGCTCATGGACTGGCAGAATAAATGTTGCCAAAATCAATCTACAGATTCAATGAAATCCCACTCAATGACTTGAAAAATATTCCTGAAAGTCATGTAGCCATACAAAAGACTCTGACTAGCCAACACTGTCCAAAGCAGAAAGAGCAATGCCAGGCACACCAGACTACTACAGAGCAAATGGAACAAAGAACAGCATGGTACTGGCACAAAAACATATTTAGAGCAATGGAACAGAATAAAGGACTCAGAAATAGGTCTACAAGCTATAGCCACCGAACCTTTGAGAAGGATACCACACACTGGAAAAAAGACAGCCTCTTTAATGAGTGATGCTGGGAAAACTGGATAAGCACATTCAAAATAAGGAAACTAGATCCATCTTACGTGCACAAAAATCAGTTCACAATGGATCAAAGACCTTAATATAAGACTTGGAACTCTGAAACTGCTAGAAGAAAATACTTCAAGATTTAAGCATAAGCCCAGTGTGGTAGCACATGCCTTTAAATATTTTATTTCTTATTTTTATTTTTGTATGTGTATGAGTGTACTGCCTGCATGTATGCAACTGCACCCATGTCATGCAATGCCCTTGCAGGGCAGAAGAGGAAGAGGGTGTCTGATCCCCTAGAATTGGAGTTATGGACAGTTGTTAGCTGCCATGTGGGTACAGGGAATTGAACCTGGGTCCTCTACAAGAATAGTCAGTGCTCTTAACTACCAAGCTAACTCCCTAGCTCCTGGCACATGCCTTTAATCCAGTACTTGGGCAGTAGAGGCAGGCATACCTCTGTGACATTGAGGACAGCCTAGTCTCTCTATATACCAGACCAGCTAGGACTACAGGGAAACCCTATCTCAAAAAACCAAAACCAAAAGGAAATAAAAACTATATAAGCATAAGCTAGGATTTTCTGAAAAGAACTTAATAACACAGGGAAAGAATCCCAAGAATTGACAAATAGGAGTACATGAAATTAAGCACCGCAAAGGAAACAATCAGAAGAGTGAAGTGCCTGCCTATAGATAAGAGAAAAAAATCTGTGTGAATTAGACATCCAAAAGAGGTCAACACCTAAAATCCATAAAGAACTCCAAAAATTGCCCCAAAGCATCAAATAATACATTGAATTGAATAGTTCTCAAAAAAGAAATACCAAGAAATGGCCAACATACAATTTTAATAATGATTCAACATCATTAGTCATTAAGGAAATGCAAATTAAAACTGCTTTGAGATTCCATCTCACCAGAATCAAAATGGCTGCTATCAAGAAAACTACCAGCAGCAAATGCTGACCAGAATGAAGGGAAAGGAGCCTTATCCAATGCTGGTGGGAATGTAAATTAGTGTGGTCATTATACACATCAGTGTGGGGGTTCCTCAAAATTATTAAAGATAGAACTACCATACAATCTAGCTGTACATCACATTGCTAAACACCCAAACAATTTCAAGTCAAATCCTGCAGAGACACGTGCACATTCCATGCTTATTGCTGAACTATTCATAATAGTGAAGATACAGAACCAGCTTAGATGTCTGTCAACAGATGGATGGGTAAATATGTAACACACACATGTATATAAAGAAAAATGAAATTATGGCATTTACAGGAAAGTGGATAAAACTGGAAAGCTGTATGTAAACTGAAATAAGTCAAATTCAGAAAGAAAAATATCACGTGTTTCCTCTCAGATACACAATGTAGACTTAAATTTAAATACATGTATATGTAGGAAGAGTGGGAACTCAGGAGAGGAAGGAATCTAAAGGGGGCGGGAAAAGAGAGGATAACCGAATATATATGTCAGGAAAGCAGAAGGGAGAACTACTTGGGGAAGAAAGGGGACCAGCGAAGGGGAGGGGCACAAGGAGGGCAGCAGGAGCGTGAATAACAAAGCATAAAGATCCGAACATACCACAGTGAAACCCAGTTCTTTGCAAGTGAAGCAAACAGTAATTTAAAAAGTAAATAGAACGAGGTTTCAGAATTAGAAACAGTTTTTTGGTCTTTTTGAGACAGGGTCTTCTTGTAGCCTCAGTTGGTCTGGAACTCACTATGTAATCCAAGCTGACTTTAATCTCACAGAGATCCACTTGCCTCTGCCTCCCTAGTGCTGGGATTAAAGGTGTGTGCCACCACACCTGGCTAATTAATTATCTATCTTTTTTTTTTTCATTTTGGGGGGAATTTCATTTCCTTCTACATTGAATCTGCTTTTTCCTTTCTTTAAAATGATTGGACATACACTTAGAAGTGGATATACTGTTATAATGAATCTCTATGATTTCAGAAATTAAAATACTTAAACATTTCCAATCATACCAAGGCTACTGCTTTGCATTTTGACATGAGTATGAGCCTGCAGATATTCTTACCTATGCCCAGGACAGTCCCCATTGCTCATGCACCTCTAACAGTGCCAAGGGTGAACGATTATTGTCAAGCTCTTTACTTCCCTGAGAGCTGCCAGGTAGGTTTCCTTTAAATTCTAGGAGGAGCACCACCATGTGGATGCCATCTGCTCTAAGAGTTAAGATGGGCATAGGGTGAGGAGCACTAGTTTGAATGTCTTTGTCCCTTGAACTTAGCCTCACTTGAGGCAGGGACCAGCAGTACACACTACAAATGTTGGCCAGCACAGCACTGCCCCTCCAAGGGTCCAAGAGAGGGGCATCTTCTGCCTGGGCAGCCTTCACTGTTGGAGGTCTTAACCAATGGAAGGCAGCATGGTACAGAACTGCCCCACCTTCTCAGTCCTCCATAGCGGGCTGCATTCTGGCTCAATGTGAGTCAATGCGACTCAGTGGAGTCAGTCTTTTGTTCTGACTCCATATCCAAGGCAGACTGCAGTCCTAACCATCTGTCCAGCTCTGGGAAATGGCCCCTGAGCTCATTTCAACTTCCTTTGAGTACAGGAAAAAGCCCAGATTCATCCATCTAACTCCTCACCACAATAGAACACACCAAGAGTTCTTTTGAGAGGACCTTGAAAGGCCAAGTGATCCAGTAGGAAAATGAGAAATATGAGTCAGCAAATAGCCTAAGAGCAAATTCAAATGGCCAGGAAGTCTGTGGAATAGCAGTTCTGTTCAGGAAGATACTACAGGAGCATAATCCATCAAAAGTCAACAGGTTTAACCACCAAGGCTAGAATGGTGGACAACAGGGCACACTCAATGCTTTCTCAAGGAAGGTCTGAGGGCTTTTAGGAAAGTAATCTGGCAGTTTGTACATTAGTGAAAAATAGATGTGATGTCTATTCTGTGGATACATGAAGCCATGTGTATTCAAATGCTTCTTTCAGCATTATCTAAAGTGGCAAAATATTAGAAATGGGAATGTCTAACTGCAGAATACCTGAATACAGAATGTCTGCTCCTATCAGAGAATATCATGCAGCTATTCAAAGGATAGATCTACAAGATGGTCTAGAGAAAGTTCTAGAAGGAATTGTTCAGGGGGAAAAAAGCAAGATGATGTAAAGTGTATGTAATATTTAAACATGACTAGAGAACATCAGATTGTTATAAAGATATAGGTGTTTTTCAACTTATGATGCAGTTATACCCTAATAAACCCATTGTAAGCAGAAAATTCACTTCATACAGTTAACCTACCACAGATCCTGGCTGAAATCAGAGTGTACCATGGAGTATCAGTTGTTTCCTTTCCTGACTCAATGCCACTGGGAGCTTCGACTGGACATTCCTGCCGAGCACTGCAAGAATACTGTATGCACACTTGCTGGCCAGGAAAAGACCAGAAGTCAAAATTCAAAAGATGACTTCTACTGAATGTCTGTCACTTTTGCATCATCACGAAGTCCAAAACTCCTGCACGGAATCATCATAAAGCAAGGGCCATCTACAGAGATTTATGTGAAGAAAATAAAGAAGGAAACACTGTAGGCCGACGTGGTAGGCTGAGGTGGTGGAGAGAAAGAAGAGGTAAGAACAAAGCCAATGAAAAAGCCACTAAGAAAGCATGTGGGTAATATGCCTGTGTGTTTTCACAGAGGATACACATGGCAGGATCTATACATAAAGAGTAACTTTATAAAACAATTGTTGAGCCAGGTGTGGTGGCAAATACCTTTAATCTCAGCACTTGGGAGGCAGAGGCAGGCAGATCTCTGTGAGATCCAGGCCAGCCTGGTCTTTGTAACAAGTTCCAGATCAGCTTGGGGGATAGGGGAAGGCAAACAAATCCTTGGCTTCTCAGACATATGAGCTCAGAAGGGGCCAGGCCAGACTTACCTGTGGCAGCTAGAGGGGGCAATCCCAAGGGGAAGCCATTTGCTGAGCCACTTGAGAAATCTGCACACATAGTGTGCTGCCATTTGGCAGGAGGAGTTCATATGTGGGGTCTAGTGGTTCCCGGTGCCCTGCTCAAGCAGGAGATTCTGTACCCACAGGAAGTGATGGGAGAGGAGCTCAGCCTATTCATCTCCTTGACACAGGGCAGACAGTTGAGAGTAGTGTGTTCATGAAATGAGCCTGGCCTCACACACTGTAGCTGCGGCTCCCTGATTCTTAAGCTCTGCACCTGCCACAGGCAATGGGATGATTGTGTACCTCTAAGGGTGGCTGAAATCAGGTGATGCAAACCACCTCAGACCTCACTGCAGGACTCCAGGGCGCTATGCAAATTTAAGGTATGAACTGCAAAGGAGCTACTAGTACTTCCTGCCCAGGCACACCTGCATGGAGACTTTAGTGGCTACAAGCAGGACTGCCTTTCTAGTGGACATTCTTTAATTCAGTACAGTAGACAGACTAAGCTGGAAGAATCCCCTGGGACTTCTTCACACAGAAAGCCAATCAGAAAGGATAAAAGATCCAAGACCATCACTTCCCAAATTTATCTTCACTTCCTAAACGGTCTTCAAGCAAAATAGATCAATCAAGTCCAAGGAAATAACAGGAAGGTAGATTAGCCAGAGCCCTGTAGTGTGCACATCTCCCTTACCAAACACTCAATAACAATGCATAGCCATGAACTGTGTGCTCAGATAATAGAAGGAAAATAAGAGTTTTTTTTTCTTAAATGTTTTTTTAAAACTAGCACAAAGGTGACAAGAGATATGATTATTTTGCTATGTCTACTTGCTCCATCCAACTCTTTCGTTCAAATGTTTCCTCTGTACCTGCTCAGAGTCCCACAAGTGCCTGCCCCCCACTAGAGAAGAGGAGTACCACAATCTCCTCCTTCAGGTAACTCACCAACTGGAGGGGGATGGAGATGTTTTCAACAGTAATTCCCATATCTTTGGTCAAGGTCAGATCAGCATTTACACATCATGGTGCTTCCACTGCTCCAAAGCCACACCACTGAAGGGCAGGGCACAGGGCAGCTGCATGATGCCGAGGCCTTGGGGGCTCTGACACTCATGTGCAGACTGCTCAGCATCCCTTCTCTGCCCTCCAACCATATGGGACATATGCTGATGTGCATCACCATCAGTGCTTGCCTCCAACAAAGTTCTCCTTCATTAGTACATAAATAGACTGCTAAGCCCCTATTGTTAAATTAAATATATTGAGGCTACGTGAAAGCACTGATAGGATAAAAACTTAGCAGTGAACATTTTTGAGTCCTATTTAAAAGGGGAAACACATTGAAAAAAAGTCTAGATTTTTATGTCTTTCATGGAAAGGGAGGGAGCATCACTGTTGGTACCATGCCTCTGAACTCTCCCAAGGCTGAACTTCATTTGGGTATCTATGCTCTGGAAACAGCAATAAATCTACTTCTGCAGGAGATAATAATTCAGATTAATTGCCTCTGCATTTGAGTCTATTCCTCAAGAAATTCTGTTCTAGTAACCTATCAAGTTAAACCCAGATTCCTCCGTATGACCTCCCCTAACACCAACACAGAGGCTGGAGGAAGTGACTAAAACCTGTAAATAAGGGGCCAGTGAGGTGGCTCAGTGGGTAAAGGCAACTGCCAGTAAAACTGACGATCTGATTAGATCCCTGGGACCCACAGGGTGGAAGAAGAAAGTCAACTTATGCAGGCTGTCCTCTGACGTGTATACCTCTATATACACGCCATGGCACATGAGTGTTCCCACACGAACACACAAATAATAATGTAAAATTTTTAGAAACCTGTTAATATGTTCTTATATACAAGGTATGACTATAGAATCTGTCATAAGTCAAACAGACAGCTCTACTCATAACTAAAAGACAGAGAAACACTATATCCATTAACTCTTCATTCTTTTTTATAGTGGTATTGGGAATTGAACCCAGGGTCTCACACATGCTCAGCAAGTGCTCTACCACTCAGCTCCAGCCCCAGCCCCAATGAATATATTTTTAAAAGTAAACATTATAAAGCCTCCTGCTGTGAAATAGACCTTTATTTCAGACCCAGATCACAGCTCTGTCTTTCTGCAGTCAAGGCTAATCACGTCTGTTGGACTGGCCGGGCAGAGTAATAAACAAATATGTGTTGACTGAGTCTGGATCTTACATGAAATTGACATTATCATAAAATTCACACAGATTGTGAGGAAACACTAATAATATTTTATTTACTTCGTTTATTAGTGGTTTAAACCAAAGCAGAACATAACAGCTGAATAATTAACCTTGACAGTTGAAGTGTCAAGGAAACTACAATTCATTCACCTGTTATCTGTCCATCTCTGTTCACCTATTAGTTGCCTGCCATGTATTCACATATTTACAAGCAGATTCAGACAACTTGAAAAACCAGTCTATAAATATGGGCCTGAAGGCATTCATGAAATTAAAAACCCAGTAACCATCAGTTGGAGAGATGGCTCATGGTTAGGAGCACTTGCTCTTCTAGAGAACTGGAGTTCAGTTGCCAGCACCCACACTGTGGTGCTCATAACCACCTGCAAGTCCAGCTCCCAGGAATCTGACACCTTCTTCTGAGTTCCACCAGCACCCACATGCATGTGTGTACACACACAGGTAAACACAAATACAAAAAGCATGAATCCTTTAAGTGTAACTGGTGTTACAAAATAAAGGGTTAAATGTGAAAATATTTAGAAAAATGGTTAGATATAGGCTGTAAAAAATGTGCTGGACCCACATCTAATTATCTGCTGAATCACAGATGTTCCCTGAATGTTTTAAGCCAAACTCTTAAATAGTTCTACCATTTGCTAAATGCCAGCAAAGCACTCTCTCTATTAATGCATTTTGAAATGAAAATTATAAAGCACTATGCCCTGAAGTGGACCTTTGTTTCAGCTCTGCATTACTTTATTTAATACATATGGTCCTTAGGAAGAAAGGTGGCGAACCATTTTATTTTTAGACATGCATAATTTACAAGGAATCAGAGGGCTTTAAAGCTGCCCTACTTTGAAGAACTTTGCAACTTAAAAGAGTTTAAGTTGAGAATTACCTGCTTTGGGGTCTTTTTACACAATTTCATAGGCTCTCTGTTGTCGCTTGCCTCAAGCTGTTTGGGGCCCCAGATGTGCGCTCATAATAAATTAATAAAAAGTTACGGAATTGCCAGGTATGATAGCGCACACCTTTAATCTCAGCACTTGGGAGGCAGAGGCAGGCGAAGCTCTGTGAGTTTGAGGCCAGCCTGGTCTACCTAGCGAGTTCCAGGCCAGCCAAGGGCTTAAAAAAAAAAAAAAAAAAAAAAAAAAAAAAAAAAAAGTACAGGAATGCTCCCAATCATTTCAATTAATAATCTAATTCTTCAACACTGCTCTAAACACCTTAGAAGTTCAACTGGGCCAAGTACTTATTTTTTTTCTTCCAAGGAGAGAAACCCTCTTTTGTTTGGAAACGCTTCAGGAAAGGTTTCTGTAAGCGAGTGCAGCCAACAACTCCAGTGTGCAGCCAAAGAATCTGAAACTCTTTTGTGTGGTGTGGTGGAGGAGGGGATTCTGGTTCCCTGGCTTTTCTCCGCACAGGTGGGAAACATTAACAGAGTCCCGGACAGAGCAAGAGCCCCTGGAGGGCGCCGGATCGCCGGCTGGCCTCTAAGTCAGGCATCGGCGGGAGAGTGGCGGGCGGAGGTTTTCCACCGTCCGGGAAGCCCGGGGAAGGGAGTGTGTTGGAAGATGAAGAAGGGCCGCGGCTGGGCCTCTCCGCAGAGCCGCGGGGACAGGCATCCTCTGCAAGGGTGTCCCCGCGGCCCTGGGGTCCCCGCCTGCACCCTCCGGGCCTCCGCCCGAGGTCTCCACGGTCCC